ATCCACTTAAAATGGAAGTTCACCCACTTGAGAGGGAACTTACATCTGTGTCAAGTTCTGTATTTACTGTAAATCAAACAGAAACATTCTGGTCCTCAACTGCCTTTATTCAAAGTCTATAGCACCTGATAGGTATTATAAAACTCAAACTAATTTTAATAGATGCATGTTTGGAAACCAAACAGCTCACTAGGCATTCTATTTCAAAATAGAAATAAGGTATACACAATTGGCTATAAACACTAAAAATGTTACTTATCTGGGATTATTTTGTGCAAAGATTTGATTTCAAATAAGCAGTGCCACAAACATCTGGATTTATTTAAAGTTCTGAAGGACCATAATTAAAATGATCTCTTAAATGTCTTCTCCAAAAAAACATGCTATACTTTACTATGCCACTTCATGCACAAAATAACAAACACTGGTGAAAAACACCACTGGGAGAATCTGACAAGCTCTTTGCATTAACAAAGGTTTTCCTTCACTAAAATCTCAGAGAAATTTTTATTTTCTCCATTAAAAGTAGAAAGAAGTCAGGTGCACATGCATAAAAATATTCTAAAGTTAACTTTTGCTTAATTGCTATAAATACTGATTTAATTATTTTTAAAATATACAATAACCTTTTGACACAATTCATTCACTCTGAAACCTATTCCATTCAATCTCTTTCATGACTTAACTCTGCATAACAATTGGCAGAATTTTAACAATTATTATTGGCAACTTACGTGTACGATTTTCCAGAGCCAGTCTGCCCATAAGCAAAAAGACAAGCATTGTATCCCTCAAAAGCCCTTTCAAGGAGTGGCAGTGCCAAAGTTTTATAAATCGTTGCTTGGCTTGCAAAATTAGGATGACTCTTGTCAAAAGACCAGAAGGAGAAGTCATAACTGAAACTGTAAACTTGGTTTGTGGATGGGTTTTGTACAATTGTCTCTGAACCACTCATGGAGACCACAGGGAATGAGTTTTCAGTTTTCTCTCTGAATGGAAAAGGTAGGAAAATAAAAAAAAAATAAGCTGCATGCTTTAAGTTAGTAATTTCACTGTCTAATGGAAAATTTAAAAATCAGTGATCATTGCTAAAAATACCTGTTAGATAAACATACAGAGTATTAAGGTTCAAAACACTTTTGTTAATGAATATGCAAAAAACAGACCCAAACACCTATAAAATCAAGTCAATTTCTTAATAAAATCATCTTGCTGTTGCATGAAGTATCAGCTAATTTCCAAGTATGTGCTATATCCTTATTGGATCAATGATGAAGTAACAAGAACAACGTAGACCTCAACACACACCGTTAGCACCAGAAGTAAGTCCAGGACACAAACCTGTTACGGAGAGGCCGCACGCGCACAGCTACAATCACTTTGCTGCTCTTCACTTTGAAAGCATCTTCCTCAGTACTGCTGCTCTCAGCTAAAGTTTCTGTGTTCACTTTTGTTTCTGAACCTGTGCTCACAGGAAGAGAGCTGGAGACACTGGGGAGCTTCTTGGCTAAAATTTGTACAGGAGGTGTTTGTTCATTTGAGGCCAGCTTGAGAGATGGTTGGTCTTGAGAAGTGCTGTTCTTTGGTGTAAGTGCAAATCTTTCTGTTAAAACTTTTGCTGGTGTCCTTGGCCTTTCCAGGCTGCTGTGTTTTATCATCAAGTGCTGTACCTTTTGCTTTCCAGCTAGCTTATTTATATTGCTTTTTTCATTCAGTTGTTCTCCTGGCAGCCTATTAGCACATTTTGAGGTAACGAACCGTTCTGATTTAGGACCTTCAGTTTGAAACTTTATGTCAGCAGTGCTTGTCTTATCTTTTAAACAGGTGTTGACAGCATTTTCACAGACACCACCAACTAAACCTAAGGAACCCTTGCTGTTCATGTTGTGCTGCGACTTGGTACTTGACTGACTCTCAGTTAACTTCAGGTTTAGTTTAACACCATCTGTACCCTTAATATTCTGTGGAAGTGCAATCTTTTCATTTCCTTGTGCATCCAAGTCATCATTTCCTTTTCTAGGCACAATATTCTGATTAATTTTACTCCTCTCTGTGGAGCCAGTCCTCACACGCCTCTGCAGAGTAAGTCTTTTCTCTGTTTGGAGCTCTTCTGTACTCTGTGCTGTGGCACTACCGGACGCTGATTTTTTGCTTGCTCCAGCTCTCCTCTGGAGTGTTAATCTGCCTTCCAGTTTAAAAGACGTTGATACATCGCTCACTTTCGCACAAGCTGAAATCACATAAGTCCTATTTGCTTCTGCACTCTTACTCTGAGGACATGAAGGCAGAGCATCCTTTTCTCCCAAGGCCTGTGGCCTCAGCTGCTGCCCAGGTGCTTTGCTGCTGGCCAGGCTATTGTGTGAGGAAGCCTTCTGCAAAGCGGCTGTGCATGGTGGCCCAGCAGGGCTCCTGGCAGGAACTGTGTAAATAGGCATCTTGTCTTCCAGCTAATTAAAACCCAAATGTTGAAAAGTAAAGCACCTTTCCTAAAGGATTATTTCTAGTTGCTGTTTTGTGAGGAATCTGGGGAGACAAAGCAAATAATTTTTTATGATGTTGATGTGCAGTGTGAGTTATGTTTTACTGCATGGGGAGCTCCTCACATATACTGCAGTACATGTTCTCAAACATTAAGAACAACTAGTATCCTGTTTCACCTCTGGTATTTAAAAAAAATAGTTCTCTTATATCTGAATGACTGCTTCCAAAAAAAGGCTATTTGACTTCATTTCTTGAATTCTATGATTTGTTTCAGAAAGTAAACCAAGCATCACAAAGAAGAACCAGTTGGTAAAAAGAACAATCTAACTACTTAGCAACAAACATGACCATGGATATTTGTTCCAAATGATCTACCATGATTTCCAAACTGAAGACATTCCAGATCATGTCTCCATTCATTCACATCTATTTACACTCTCTGTGTTTCACAGCTAACAGACTCCAACAGAACAACAAAGTTAACCTTGAACAGAAGTCTGTGAACAGGGAAGGAAGATTTTTTTTTCCCCAGGATTTTGATATGCAATATATACCCCAGTATCAGAACGGGACAGTTAATAAAGATGACCATTAGTAGTAACTCTGGATGTTATTTTAGTTCACACTGGTACATAGACACATAGCAAAACAAAAGACACTTGGCCTAGGGGACAAAAGAAAACCATAAAGTATACTCCCTGTCCTTTCTACATGTAAATATTCTGAAAGCTCTATATATATAATCTGTATAGAAAAGCACATTTTCCCTGCTGCATCTGCATCATATTTATTGGGTTGTATTTCATGTAAATATTCTGAAAGCTCTATATATATAATCTGTATAGAAAAGGACATCTGCATCATAGTTATTGTGTTGTATTGGGTTTGATATCAACACTCACTGCAGACTTGTCAACTGCAATTAATTCATGATTACAAGTCAACAAGAAGTCACCTGCCTTTGATTCTTTAAAAGCTGCAATATCATTAACAACAGCAGTACATGGTTAGGGGAAAAAAGTAAAGCAAGATGAGAGCAAGTGATGTAGAAGAAATCATTTAGCTACTGCTCCAACAGAAGTTTCCTTTAATGTTACACTTTTAAGCAGCAGCTTTCAGAGTACTCTCAGACTTTGTGCAATTACATCCACTTACACATGTCATGACTGTACAGTTTCCATAGCTCACAATTTGCGAGGAAAATATCAACACTTCAGAGCAGTGTATTTATTGCTCAGTCCAGTTTCAGACAGGAAATTATGTTACATGACTAAGTAAGTAAAATACAGACTTTGTGGTTCCCTCTAGTAGTCAGTAAACAGAGAAACACGGATGTAAACTATGAATGGTGTGCTGTCTGGAAAGTCCATCCTTTCCATGCAGCTTTAACATAATTCTTGTAAGCTCTCCCCTCCTCTCGCCACAGCTGTGCTGTATGAATAATCACAAAGTCTTTCTGGTGAAAAGAGAAACTCCTCATTAAAGGCTCCTTCGTTCTACAATAAGGAATGAGGCTCAGTTCCAGAGACCTGAACTCAGGAAGAGAAATACGCTCATTCCTCGTTCTTATAGAATTACAACCACTAACTAGATGCGAAACGGAAGCGCCCAAAGCTGGAGCAACCGGCAGCTCTGTTATCCCTCAGCAAAGCCCCCTCCCTCCCTGGCCGAGCCGCGGCAGACCCCGCACGGCCACGGGCCCGCCCTCAGGGAGAGGGCGAGGAGGCGGCAGCGGCAGCACCTCCACACGCGCCGCCGCCCCCCACGACCCACAGCCCCCCTCGGGGAAAACCCCGCCGGGACGCGGAAGAGTCGTCGGTCGGTCCGTCGGTCGGTCCGTCCGGGCCAGCCCTCACCTGAGCGCGCCCCTCCTCAACCGCCGCCCGGCAGCGCTGCGCTCGCTCCGCTCGGGCCCCGTTTGAACGCGCCGGGCGCGCCCGATTGGCTCCGCGAGGCTCCGCCCAGGCCCGGCCCCGGCAGCGGCCGCGCCGGCAGGAGGCGCCCGGCGGGCCGGGTGCGAGGGCTGAGGCGCAGGGCGGTGACCGGGCACAGCGCTGCGAGCCCGCCCCGATCCCAGCCCGATCCCAGCCAGGGCCACCCGATCCGTACGGGCAGCCTCAGACCCGGTACTGTGCTTACACTGCCGTGTGCGGCCAAAGCACCAGTGAAAAGGGGAGAAAAAATGGGTGTGAAGGAATTAAAAGAACACACGCTGGCTGTGACACTTAGGTAATGCTGGCACTCCAAGCAGCACCAGGGGAAGAAATAAAAACAGAGTGTTGGAATCCATGAATATATACGCCCATAAACAGACACATTGATAATAGAATATGTTGTACAAAACCATCTAAACCCAGTAACAATGAGAAAGCTTGAGAAAGCTTGCTACAAGGTAACTGAAGCAGGTTGCTGATACAACTTTACAACTTTACAGAAGAAGAATATGAGATAAAAAGGAGACTTCTTAAAAACTGTACAAATTTCTTTTTAAAACGCAATACACAAGGCAACACTTCATATTTATTTTTAATCATACTTTTATTGTAATTACATAAATATGCCTTTATTACCTCTGAGAATGATTTTTGTTGTGTTTTTTAATAATGTCCATAATATTATCTCCTGTTACGAGGCTATTATTTAACTGTTTAAGTCTCTGTTGTTCCCTTCTCTTCTGGTCATGCAGATATGGCGAATTAAGCAGCTGTGGGGGAAGAATGGTGCCTGTGGGTTTCACTCTCTTCACAACATCCCAAAAGAGCTTCTTGCTGTTGTTATTGATAAAAGTAATTGCAGTTCCACTGTGACCCAATCTCCCTGCTCTTCCAACCTGAAAAAGCGTAAATTCATTTTAAGTTAGCAATAGTAAACCTAAGTCCTTCAAATAGTCTCAGAAGTTTTTTTTTGTTACAAAACATCAAGTAAACCTATGTGACAGGACCAAATCTCTCTCATCCTCTAAGCACAAAGGTACTTACAACAAGCTGCCTGAATTCAGAACGTGTAGATCTGAAGCTGTTGCTGAAATGAATTTAAAATTAGGACTTGTTTATGGGACATACCAGAAGTCCAATATTGATACTGAGATATGAGGCAAAGGCTTACAGTAAATCTGATCCAAACAAAAGGTTTCAAAAAATACTATAGAGATGCCAAATACTTACACTTCATATCAAGCACAATATGTACCAGCATAGCCACAAAAATGACCTTTATTTTTAATGTCCTAGTAACTTGAAATTATTTACCAATATTATCCAAAATGCTTGAGCAAATTAGAAAATAATCCACAAAGACTCCCTATTTAGGAACAGCTAACATGCCAATATTGGTATCATTTTGATGCTAGGAAAGACCATTTTTATTTACTTAACACATGCTTGAAACTTTAGCAGAAAGGCAATTAAAAACAAGAGGGGAATTTTGCAGTTAATAACACAGGCTACTTGAGTTCATGACAGCGGATAACTTCCAGATGTCCTCATCTGTTCAGAACCAGGTTTATTTCAAAGTCAGATCAGTTCCCTCAAGGCCTTGTTTCAAGTGTCTGAAGCACAAAGGTCCCATCCCTGCCTGACTCCCCTCGCTGTGAAAACCCTTTCTCCCTGCTATGAGGCCATAATTTCCCTTGCAGAAAGCTACAACTGCTGGCTCTTGTCCTTTCCCTGGGCATGCTCAAGGAGAGGCTCTGTCTCCTCTGTAGTCACCCGAATGGAAGGCAGCAATTAAGCCTCTAGAGCAGCCCAAACAAGCCCAGTTGCCTCAGCCTGTCCTGAAGTGGCACGTGTGCCAGCCCCCTGACTTCACCTGGACTCCCTCCAGTTTGCTGCCTTTTCCCACAGCTGATGCTCTCAGAACTGCACACAGTAGCATTGTGTCTTCCTCATGCCACAAAGAGGGCAAGAATGAGTTCTCTTGATGTGCCAGCTAAAGTAGGGCTGGGGACTGTGCACATAAACGCACAGACACGTGAAACTCATCTCTTCTAAAGCAGGAAATCCACAGAAAAAAAATATCAGAGAGACGCTTGACTGGAAAGAGGGGAAGAAATCAAGTTCATGACTGTTGTCCTGACTATTAATGCATATCCCACATTGCAGATGAGCTGCACCTGCAAGAGGGGCATTTGGCCTTTCTTCACACAATAAAAAAACGGTAAACTTTGTTTTCTATAGACACAAAATTATATAATAGAGTACAAAACAGGAAGAAATACACTGCAAAAGTGATTTAAAGACACTCTTCTAAGTTTTAGTAACTTATGTAGGAGACAATAGGAACAGTATTCTAGATTTGAGTAATTTATGTAAGAAATTTACAGAAGAGATATCCAGCACCATTTTTTCCCTTTCCTGTAAAAATAATTCTGAAGAGGAAAATGATCTTTCTGTTTACATTTAAATTTCCACAGGTGAACGTCATATTTCAATATACTTTTCAAACAATTAGCAATTTATTTATTTACCTGGTGTACATATTCATCCATACTTGAAGGCATATCAAAATTCACCACCAGTTTGACATTGGCAAGGTCAAGCCCTCGTCCAAGGACTCCAGTACTCACTATAACTTCATACTTCTCTTGAAGTAATCCCTGGCAAGGAAGGAACAACCCAAAATTAATTCTTCATTCCTTATTTGTATTTTGAACCTCTCCAAGCAAGGGTTAACATCTAGTTATTTGGTGTAAGAACACACCCAGCGGGATTATTCTATTATAGAAGAGAGAATGGCTCCCAGTATTCTTGATTTAAATGGGAATATAATTCAGAGAGATAACCAAAGAGAGATAACCAAACCCACAATTTTAATTGCAAACATTATCAGGTACAGTTAAATGCTTATTTAAATTCCCATTTCAAATAATCTGAGAAACAGTCTCTGTATTTATCTACATTTAAAACAGGATTATTATCTACGGTTTTGCTTAGTCCTGTCTCTCATCTCCCCCAGCAATACCTCAGGTATTACTGCAGAAAAGCAGTCCATTATAACTTCAGTCATTCCATTATGACTTCAGTCATTCAAATGAAGCCACATTTTAAAAAAAGGCCATTTGAAATCTACCAAACACCCTGAACTTGAGCAGGCACAAACCTGTAAAATGTCTGTTCTTTCCACCTGAGACTTTTCAGAATGCATAGCTGCGCACTGCAATCCTGTAATCTTATGAACAGCATCACTCAACAGATCTGCTCCTAGTTTACAGTCCACAAACACCAACACTGGAGGCTTGAAGAGCTTGTTATCCTGTAAAATTAAACAGTTTATTTAAAAAGGGATTACAACCCTTAGCTGTTCATCATCAACATGGATTCAATTTGTCCTGATCATGAGATGAGAACCTGACAGAGATTTGGAAATACATAAATCATTTTAAAAATTGCTCTTATGAGAAAAATATTAAACTTACATTTAGTATTTCAAACAGTTTTTTCTTTTTAGATGGTTCTTCTACCCACAAGATAATTTGACGAACATTGGAACACGGCAGATTCTTCTCTCCAATTGTTATTCTGACAAAATTGTGCAGAAGCTGATTTGCCAAGTGCTCAATGCCCACTGGAATCGTGGCTGACACCAGTATGGTTTGATGATGATGAGAGATGTCTTCCAAAATATCCAACACTTGCTGCTGGAAACCCATTTTTAGCATGGTATCCACCTAAAGGAAAAATATTACATTTGTACCACATTTTTTCCCATGAACAGCAGGATCCCAAACCTCAACTGACAGAATAACCATTATGTAACATGTAACAATCCAAATGCAGGAGCATTTACAGTCAGAAGAAAAGCTAAGTGAGAAAATTAAAAACAAATGGTTCACACTGGTCTAACAGTATTATCCTGTCAGGTACCTAACTCTTTACAGCAACAGAACATTTGTTGTTTAAACACATTTCCAATTGTGTCAAAAAATAAAACTGTCTCCTAAGAAATATATTCTATTTTTATATCAAACACTCTGTATGTTTAATAAGTGAGATTAGCCACTCACATTACTCTGCCAGAACCTCTGTATAGGTAATAGAGCTCTGATAAATACTTACTTCATCCACCACTACAATTTTTATGCCATGCAGTTGAACAGAACTTTGCTTTAAAATCTCAAGAAGTCTTCCAGGTGTTGCTATTATCACCTGAAAAAAAAAAGGGGGAGGAAAAAACCCCACAGGAGTAAGAAATTCTGTGAAAGGACAGAGGACCATCCTAGAAAAACGGTAAAATTCCATCACAGATATAACAATGGCAGTAATGCATGAAATTATTGCATTCAAGTAAGTAATAAAACTTCTAGAAAACTTATAAATTATGAAGTCCTAAGAGAAAATGGACCTTTCAAAACTCTAATGGAGGTGTCTAAGTTACAAGCAATAAAATCTGCATAAAAACAAACTGCTTTTTCCTCTCAATTACAACTCCTTATGTAAAAATACTGGCATATTTCAGTCTTTGAAAGCAGCAATATCACACATGAAACTTTTTACAAACAAACAAACAAAAAAGCTGTTAGATGTTTAATCAGAAGTGAAAAAGCTTTTTAAAAACGGTGTAACTGTAGAATTTTCAGGAGGTAACAAATGTTTCAGCAGTTCAGACTCAGGAGAGAGCCATCTTTGTGTGTCCATAGGTGTCACCAGTACCATTTTTGTTTTCTGTCAGTGTGATGAGGACGCGGCCCCCCACTCCGGGTCAGAGCTCACCTTCACACTCTGCCGGAGGCGGTGCAGCTGCGGGGGCAGGGGCAAACCTCCCACCAGCAGAACTGTCCTCATGTTGGGTAACCCGGCCATCAGCTCCTTCGCTTGGCTCTCGATCTGGATTGCCAGCTCCCTCGTTGGTGCCAAAATAAGGGCAGATGGAGTTTCTGTCTAGAAAGGAGAGGAAAAATCTCATTAATGTGGAATTTTATTTAGATAGAAAGCTTCCAAATTTCCCAAAGTAATCTTTTACATTAAAAATAAGAATTATTTTAAGCAGCAAAATAAAATTACTTCTCAATATATGCATTAACTCGTTCAGTGCCCTGAAGATGAAGCATGGGAAAGAGTATGTACAGATGCATTTTCCATTGAGACCCCTATTTTGCACATATTACTATAAACATGTATCTGTCTTGCAGACTTTCATGATAATCAGAAAGAGAACTACTGGAGTGTGTAGACCTTTTCTTACCTACTTCTACATAACACTTTCATTCTTAAACTAGAGTTTACTAGTTGCTAGAGTACTTTAAAGAATAAAAGAGTTATTTAAACAATCTTTCAATTATTAATTTAAAAAAATTTACACGTTTGTGTGCATATACATTCTGTAAAGGTATCTAAATAGTGCAAAGCATTGCTAAAATCATGTTCCGAATTCTCTAACGTATTTTTATGCATCACTTTTTGAATAAAGCCCATAAACAGTTCTGAACCACCTCAAGGTACAGAATACTATTTGCCATTGCTTCTAATTGTACGTTCATGTCCTTACAAAGCAGAAGTTTTTTTAATTCTTTTTCCCACATTATAAAAGTAGAGACTGTGTAACTAGAGGATTTTTTTTTTTTACCCAAAATTCCTGTAATTATTTGACAGTCAATCAAATTCCAAGAGAAATTACTCTGTGAAGTTATACAAATTCCAACAACTCTCTTTGAGCCATCTGATATATGAAGATACAGGAAGAACTTACAGAGGGCCTGGAATTATTTTCACTTTCTATTTTAAGTCATTTAGGAAGTCTACCACAGAATTTAACTAACTTTCTCAACAAGCAGGAACTGTGTAATAGGTAATATTGATAGAGCTGCTTCATCTCCAGACCAAAGTGGAAAAACATTAAATTTAATTAAAAATAATTAGCACCTCCCCCCCTCCAAGAACCAAATGCTTGATCAATCAAAAGTCAAATAAATCACTGAATGTTAATGAAAAACACTGCAATCACACTCTTCATTACATTGGGAATCCAACAGACAAGGTTCCAAACTGCTTTCTCTAACTATCTGAAGTTTCATTACCTCTTTCAAAACCTTCATAATAACAGGAAGCAGGAAAGCTGCTGTTTTTCCAGAGCCCGTGTCAGCACTAGCCAGAATATCCCTCCCTAATAGTCCAACAGGGATCATTTGCATTTGGATGGGAGTTGGGACTTCATAGCCAGAATTCTTTAAATTATTGTTTAAAGTTTCAGGAAAACCACAGTGTTCAAACTCTACAATAGGTCTTGGAATTTGCTGGCCCTGGACAGCAATACCCAGCTGGAGTTTAAGGTTCTCAACCTGCTCATCTTGCAAACCTAAAATAAAGGAATGATCTTTGTAGAAATAAGGTGCATTAAGCAGGTCAGCTTTTGCTTGAGAATCTGTGGCTTGATCAGATGTTAGCTGCCTTTCCTTTGCTTCAGTTTGTAGAAGGTGTTTGGCTTTACATTCCAAACTACAAACATCTTCATCTGTTTTGTCGCAGATGTACTCCCCGTAGCGGCCACACACCACACACACAGGTTCTCCAGGCTCTGCCCAGCGCTGGGATTTGCTGAAGGATTTTACGGGTTCTTCCAAAGAGCCATCATCCTCAGTATTTTGGCTGTCCTTTGCCAATGATGTATTAGCAACACCAAGGTCTGCAGCTGCAGGTTCTGTGCGTCCTTGTACAATTTCACTTGAATTGTCTCTTGAGGCAGAAGTTTCTGTTCCAAGTGACTTACAGTCCTGGAACTCTGTGGTCTCCTCTAGCGAAGGTCCTCCAGAAGACAGTTTACTTTTCTTAGCTGTACAACTTTTGTCCTCATCAGCAGCCCTCTTGACTTTAACAGATCGTGGTAAAAACATGCTTCAGTACACTAGAAAGGAAATGGTTACAGTTAGAAACTACTGCTATTGAAAAGGGTACATTTTACTGTTACCACCCAAAAAAAAAAAAAAATCTAGCAAATATTGGCAAACACAGAAACTAACTCTCAATCCCTGAAAAGATCTAGAATATGCCTTGTTTTAAAATGATCTTGATCATAACAATGTTGATGCAAATGTGAAGAATTTTAAAACAACAGTGGAAGCATGGAACAATATAGAGCATACAGTTAATTGTCAGTATTAGGCCTTCGCAGCTGAGTAAAAACTTAGCTTTTCACTGTGTGGAAATTTATCCATTTTGCAAATCAGTCATACTTAAATCCTTGGAGAGTTCACCTATTTCTAAGATGAAACCACAGATGCAAACGTTCTTCTAAGGTATGGAAAAACCACCAACCTAAACCAAATAAAACTATCAGTTTTGGAAAGGATGTCAAATTCAATACAAGATCCATCCAAGATCACTCATTTTGTTGTTCTTTTTAAAGTCCACTTAAAATTATAAGGCTGCAAACTTCTGAGGTTTGTTTAGAGTTCAGCTCTGCTTGTTCAGTGTCCAGAAAAAAGCAAAGACTGACACCATCAATTTGCCAAATATATACTGTAACACAAGACATATTAAATGTTCAAAAACAACCATATTTTATATTCTGAAACTTTCAGTATTTGTCTCCAAAAGCACTAGATATGCTCACCAATCGTTTGCCATCATACAATCAGTAAAAAAAGTACAAAAAAACACGGCAATTTTATTCTGAGTAAATTGTACTGTGCCTACCACTCTCTACAAACGTCTTACAGGAGATTTTTAAAAACACACCACGCCACGTCTGTGCACAGACAGCTGCGTTTGTGTAACGGGGAGCAGTGCCGAGGACGCGGCAGCAGCCGGCCCCAGAGCCCCGCGGGCGGACCGCTGCTGCGCCGCGCTCCCGGACCACAAGCCGAAGATCACCATTTCACTTTTCGCGCCTAATGAGAACGTCCCACAACGAACCTCTGCACGCTCAGCAGCCTCCCGGGCGAGGGCAGCGCTCACGCAGAGTGCGGGGATGACGGACGCTGCTCGAGACGGGCCCGCGGGGACCCCGGGAGCGCGACAGCCTCTCGCAGCCCTGCTCTGCGGCAAGAGCCACCCACCCCACGGGAGAGCAAAGCGGCGCGGGGCCTCCTCCGCCCGACAACCGTGCCCGCTGCCGCAGGCGGACTGCGGCCCCGGCCCCCCCGCCTCACGAACCGCTGCCGCCGGGCCGCGCGCCGCCTCCCGCACAAAATGGCGGCGGCCGCGGGCAGGGGCGGGCCGCGGCTGCCGGAGCTGCCGCCGCCCGTGCCGCCTACCGGGCTCGGCCTGCCTTGGGGGCACGCAGGCGCGGTTGTTACACGCTAAAATCGCATCCGTCGCCCAGTGTGCAACAAGGCAATAATTACACACTCGAGAGAGACATTGATTATTTATCTCAGAGTTGCGCAAGCCTGGGTGCGTGGTGGTACTCCACAAACCAAGCATGCCAATTATCAAAACTTTTTACTATTTATACATTCTAGCCGACAAAGAAATTCCTGTTCATTGGCTACAAGTTACATGGCTCTCTTAATTATCAGAATTCTATCTTCTGTTGTGAACGATTCCCTTTTTTCTTGTGCTAGTTAGTCTGCATGCTCAGTCTTTCTCTTTTGGGTTGGTGGGCCATGAGTTGGTGGTCGTGACCTCCCCTGCCACAAGTACCTTTTACCCAGTTGGAGCTGACTCAGCATGGTTGCTGAGTTGTCTTTATTAGTTTCTTCCTTATCTTGGGAATTCTGTTGAATTCTGCCTTCCTGTAAATCCTGCATTCTTTGTGTCCAGTATCAGTGGACATCCTTCTTCCCAGGCTTTGCCAACCTTCCTATAGGTCTGAGGTCAGTGGAACGTGTCAAGCCCTAAACTGTGACAAGGTAATTCTACCAAAAAGTAATTTGTTTTTCTAACATCTGGACATCACATAGAGCTTGTTTGTTAACAGCTCTTTGTTTCATTAATAAAAATTTCCCTTCTTGTTGATTAGGCTTGAAAGTATACAAGGATCAAAGAAAGAACCACTTTCTTATGAAAATTGTACATAGCAACACTAGCTCTGCAGAGGGGCATGTCCAGCACTCCTGCAGTCACAGCCAAAGTTGATCCTACAGACAGAGATGCTACAAACACACACATTTGTACATGAGGAAAAGGTTCCTGCAGCACACAACAGAGCCATAAGGTACGCGAGAAAAAAGTCCAGTACATGCTATGATGGGCACAGTGACACAGCTCTTCATGTACTTCAAACTAAGTTATTACTTTCAACAATAAATAAGCATATTTACACTCCATTACAAGGCATGAGAACACAGAATTTATCACATTTCACTACACGGCAGAAAACACTTTCAGACTTATGGATAACGTGTGCTTTGCAAGACAGCCAGACATGACTGCTGCCCCGAGCAAACCCAAGTTCATGGCAGAGTACTGGGTTTGGATGTGTGTCCACTGAGAACACCGATGGTTTCAGCTGCTTGGCTGTTGTGAGCAGGGTGGTCACTGCCACTCACTTCCAAGGACACCTGTCACCTGTCAGCCTGTTCCAGGTACCTCCTTACAACATCAGGAGGACCACAGCAAAGTAAAAGTATACCCTATGACGATAAATGATTTGGTGCACAGCAAAGATATCCTGCAGGGAGCTGAAGAGGAAATCATAGTCCTAACAGCCCCTTTGGAAGCACAATTTAATGGCAATCCAGAAAACCAGTCAGAGGAGACAGTGAGAGGAGGGTGAAAACACAGACACAAAGCTGGGGGGCTTTCAAGCAGCTGCCTACAGAATTCTATAACATTCAAGTCCAGTCACATGTGAAACGGTCTATCTTAAAGTTGCAATACAAAATGCAAATAGGGAGGTTTGGTCTCTCTGGGATTTTTAATTAACTGGTAGAATTGAAAAGATTATTGAACATTTGGAAAGTTGGCATCACTAGACTTAAAAATTTGCAGGCACCTTCCACCCACACTCCATACATTCCTGTGAAAATCCCCACCTTTCTCTGATTCAGCCTCTGTCATTCCCCTTTGCACTAACTTTCTTTCCTTCATTTTCCCTCCCCAACAGAAGCAAATTTCCTTTTCTTACTTCCATTTTACAAGGTCATTTCCTGGAATTCAAAACATCATTTGCTAAACAAAGACCAGTATTTCAACAATATTTAATATGATATGTTTCATACCCTATACAGTCCATGCAGCAAAATGCAGACATCCTACATGTATCAGTTTTTTAAAATGTGTTCAGTGTGCAACGGGACTAAGAAAAAAATAAGTTACTTGGTAGGAAATTCTCCTCTTGAGTGAGGAAGACTACAGTAGAGATTGAAAAAAATTTTACAAAAGGATTCTATGGATATTCAGAGGCATGAAAGGGCTTCCATGCAAGAAACAACTATGTAGACTCAACAGTCTGAAAAAGAGATGACTAATAACAGATAACAATAGAGCTACTGTACCTTGAGTGGCTCATAAAGGCTGGACAGCTATTGCTAGTTCATTATTTCTTCCAACAAAAATCATAACATGCTTTATAAAAAGTGCTCACTGCCGAAAAGTAGTGCAAGCTCCCACAGAATGTAGTAGGTTATTCTTTATTTACATGGAGAAGTTAATCAGTATAGATGTAACAAAACCTCTTCTAAAACAGATATTGTACCTTGTGAGCTCACTGAATAAATTTTTTTTTTTTTGTGGAATAAAGCATAAACATTCTAGTTCAGTCACTTGCCTAAGTTTTCTTTCAGAATGATGAAATATGTAAAAGTAAGAGGTGCCTTGGTGAATTTAATTCCCATCCTCTCAGCTCTTGAGGCTGCTAATCAGATCTGAGGTGAATGGCATTTTAATAGGATTTTTCAATTCCAATTTTTGTACCTTTAGAGTACATTAAATGTCCCAGACAAGATGCTCTCAGATATGCTACAAAGGGGTTTGTCTTCGTATTTTTCATCCTAAAAACTAGTTAGTTCAAGCACTGGCTGAATAAAGGTGGATTTAAGTCCTGCTAGAAAACCATGAGCAATTATGGATAGTAATTTTTGCTCCTTCTGGACAATTTATCTGGGGGTGTAATAAAGAAAAGTGTTAAGGTTTTCATGGAAGTAAGGTAGCATTTGTATTTTGTATGATTACATTGTTATTTAATTGAGTTGGTAAAACTCAAAGACTTTAAATATTCCCCTCTTGCCTACACTCATGTGTACAATAGCTGCTCAGGAAGACATCATGTATTGTTATTAGAAAGCCCTGCACAAATACAGTCCTTATATAATTAAAATGTCTCTTCAGAGTAACTTCTAAAGTAAATATTAGGAGCTACAGAACTGTAACAACGCACACACAACCCCACATGTACAAAAGGACCAATACATACTGACAGATGTACTACATAAATATACAGCAACAGATTATTTCAACATTATGCGTATTTCTGTTAGAATAACAGATTAAAAGTCAAAAGAAATAATGAAAACCATAAGAAACAGATTATTAATAGTAAGTATCCCACTTTATGTTTTATTTTAAATTATATCAAGATTTTTTCATGTTCACTCAAGGTTTCTATATCAAATATACAGAAAGGATTCATGCTTTCAGTTTAAAAACAGGCATTTGCCCTATAATATCTCACAGCCTTTCTTTTGAAGCATGAATCAACCTTTCCCAGCACTTGCAAATAATAAATAATTCACTAAAACAAGACTGGATTAAAGCAGGAGACTGAAATCCCTCTACTCCCAGGCACAGTAAATCCATAAAAACCAGGCATTGCATGTACTAATTCAGAGACAGCATCACAGGCACTGCAAAGAGCTGCCTGACTGCACCGTGCACCGCAGCTCCCCACAGCGATACCGCCCAGAGTGCCCCCCTCAGATCCGACCTGAACCCAACCTCTGTGCACCTCCCCACACCTCCGGCAGGCCAGGTCTGCTCAAGCTCCACACGGGGGTTTGAGGAACAGATAAAACCACCCCAAAGGGTAACTGTCCAAAACATTTTAATACAGAGTATTTCAAGTTTCTTTTGTAGCCAAAATATCTTCGCACAATGCCTGAATTTTCCACCTTGAGCGAGCTCTCAGCATATGCAAATCTGCTGAGAATGGACTCGAAGTGGAGTCCAACCAGCACCTCGTGCATCACTCCCTCAAGTGGCAAGTGCCAGGACTGACAGATCTGACAACTAAAATGTGTCTAAAATCACATCAAGAGGAACAGCTTTGGGTTTTCTTTAAGCTATTCATTCCTTTAAATATCTCAATATGTACCCCATGTTACATTATTCTGAACTAGGGAGTTCCAGAGCCTTGCTGTTGCTGTTCAATAACATTATAATGAATGAAGAACATTAGGTTTATGAAGATGTCAATTAAAGAATACAAAAATTATTCTCTGTGTTTGTTTTTTTTCAAGTGTGCCACACTTGAATACATATAATTTGAGTTAACAAAATATCCACTGCTTGGGTGGAAAGGAGGGAGAATGTCTTTCCATTCAGCAGGCATGGAAGCCACAGTATGTTTACTTGGGGTCTGCTGTCTGTGTCTGCTCCACCTGATGCCATAAAACTAAATATTTTTCTTGTTAAATATTGTTCTGTTTATTTAATGCTTGGGGATTTTGAAGTCACTCAGCACATCTTTTAGGTAGGTAATCAACTGCAGCTCTAACCCGAAGTGTATTTAATTAATAGTTCTTTGATTGAAGGAACCAGTGAGTCAATTACTCCACTGGTTTGTGAATTGCAGCTTTAAAGGAACCACACAGGAAAAATCCAGATAATCTAAAAACAAAAAATTGTGGCTAACCATTAACTAGACAATTCATATTCTTGTCAAAATGTCCTGATTTTGTACGGGTATTGCATGCAGTATACTTATTCTGAGGCCTAGTTTTTCTAATTTTGTTTGATCTAAACAGGAAAATCCTACATTTTTTGAAAAGAAATCGTCAGTAAAAAAATATTTGAACTAATATTTTCAGGCTTCCTGAGCATTCTCTTTGTTTGAAGAGCCACATTGTAAGGAAACATTGGCCAATATTAAGTCTCTGCAGAAATCCATGGTAAAATTTGAGCTTAAAAATAATCTAATTAAATCTGAGTACTTAAAGCATATTGCTGAGAAGGTATATATTTTTTTTTAAAGAAAAAAATTAAAAACCCACAAATAACAGCAATCCTAGCCTGAAGCTTCAGCATTAAATGCCACTAGTCTATAGGGAAATAACTCTATAGGGTGATTCATGAAAAAATTATGAACATAATTACTGTACGTGATTATATGCTCAAATACTGCACACAATATTTACTTTGAAAATGGACGTACTCCCTAATTCAGCATCATCATACTGTTAGCACAGCTATGAAAACTACAGTGATTACAATTTCCAACCTTTGTATACAAGATAGTCTAGCTTCTTGCAATTAAAAGAAATTATTTTAGGGTATGAGAATCATTTAAACTAATTTAAACTTACAGATCTCTGTTAGGTCTCTGAGACTTAGAGAACAAGGATTTGATCAAAAGATTGCAAACACAATAGCCAGATTCCAGGGACTTCAGTAGGCAGCAAACTATAACCCAGATTGTTAGAGAATTCAGGTGGAATTTAACAAGATTAAATAAATCTTGAAATATAATGTAATTAGAATTAAGAATTTTAAATTCTCTCCTTTTCTGTTAATCTGTTTTTCTTTCTGAGAGGATAGATTTGTGTTCCAATTAGTAAGTCTGTTTGGAGGCAAAAGAGATTGGCATCTATTCTAACAGTAAGATAACATTCACACAACATGCACTTACTGAAAGTAAACTCTTTTTTCCTCCTCCTTTAGTGTCTCACACAAAAAGATGGGAGAGAAAAAAAGAAATTCCACAAGAGACAACAGGAATCATAGAGTTCCAGCTTGTCAGATGACCTGTGTCCAATGTGAGTTGCCACCTGCCCATCAATAAACTCTCTTTCAATCATGTAACTTAAGAGATGACCACCTTTCTAATTAATCAGCAAGTATGACAAATATAATAGGTACATTGCTTTTGTAGGGAGTGAAGGAAACAGAGTCAAAATCCAATACTGTGACAAACTGAAGAAAAGATTTATGGCATAAACCTTTTGAGTAAATGGTTAATAAATTCTTTTTCCACCACTAAATCTTCTACCAGCACTGCTATTTTGGCAGCAGAAACGACTGCAAGAAAGGCCTGGAATATGTGCAAGAGAGCTGCTACAAACCAGACTTTTTATCAGTTCTTTTGTTAAAATAGATGCCAGTATTAACCATTGGGTTTAGCCTTCATGCTTCCCGACATTACATTTGGTGCTCTTCTGTCTCTACACGAAGGATTACATTGCCCTAGTTGAATCCCTCACCAAAAAAATCACTAAGGGGCACAGAAAGGCTGTAACTACAATTTTTTTAACTGCACACTCAAGGATCTCAGACTGCTAAAGTGAGACCAACAGGTTTGTCCTTTTGCAATGTTACTTTCCTAGACTTTGTTTGTTGTGAGAACATGCATATAATGCATTAGCTCAGCTTGATAAAGCACAATGGCTATTAAAAAACAAAAGCCTGAAAATGTAACATATTTCTCACTATCATCCTTGAATGAGTGCTCCCCATGCTTTTTATTAGGAAGATCCAAAGATGCCAATAACCTTACAGCTGGTGACTGTAATAGCAGAGGGTAACAAGACAGAAATAATGAATGCCTCCTTGTTAAGCAGTGTTGTTTGTGCTGTTCCAAGAGAGATCTGCCAAGAACTTTCCATGCAAACCTTATTTTTCTGGGATCTGTAACTTGGCGGCAAAAAAATTCCAGCATGATACCCAGTTCAAAAGAACTCAGATTACAAGCTTTAAAATATATTTTTGAGTTTTGGAATAAATTAAATTTAGACTAAACAAGGTAAACACTTTAGTACTTCATGTATTTTTGTTGCTTTATTGAAAGAAAATTTGTGGTTATCAAGTTTGCACCTCAGACAATTTTATGTTTTCTAACTCTTGGGTATTAAATAAGTCTCAAGTACTGCAGTGTGAAAGGAGACTTTGTGCTGTATGGTCAAGATTTCACTGAAGTGTGTTTTCTTTTTAAGGAAGACTGTATGAAATACATATGAAACACTCCTTATTTTATCTGCCAAACAATTCAGTGGAATAAATCTGTGCTAATTCTTAATACAACTCAGCTGACCTGGGTATAATGCCAGGTTGTGAAAAAAACCTGGCAATTTAACATTTAGCCCAGAATTTCAATGTGAAATTATGTCAGATTGTTTCTGTTTTGTATTTGAATAAATGATTCAAAGCTTTGAGCCACACAGAAGTCCAATTTCAGTGTACCCATTTCATTTTTGCCTCTAGACCCATTACAATCAGCTAATTTTGTAGAGTTCCTGGCCAAAGCAACATTCTTTCCTGTGGCAACTAGCATGATATACAGAAATTAGATTTCAGGCACAAAATTAGATTTCAGCCCAAGCTAATGAAGCTTTCTATCAGGTAATAGCCAGGTGTCAAGAAACAAGAAGGCTATGATAGTTGCCTGAGTACTGGAAAGGAATTGGTGGCTTAGCTTACACCTATGAGGAACAAACTTCCCAGCAACTCAAAACTAAAAGGAGATAATCAAAACATATAAATATCATCAATATCAATATATTATACACTTTTCTTAATATATATGGTGAGGTAATTTCAAAGGAAACACTAGAAAGAACAGGCCAGAAAAAAACAAGAGAATGAGTATCTTAAAAAAGTTTCTGCTAATTTTCTTAACTTGGTTTTTCTCCCCTAGATCACATTATCCCCCGAAATATCTCAACCTACCTTACAGTTGGAGACAAATCAAAACTATGGAAGTCTATGAAACCAGAGTTCCTTTGAGATTATTTGCAATTCAGCTAACATGCTGGGTGTATAAAGACATTACCATTCTTGGAGAGTTTGCATGAACTGGAACTTGGAGCAAAAAGGCAAGGTTGCCAAAAGGCTTCTGTCTTACTGACACTGTCTGCTCTGCAAGGAGCCACAAAGGGAGTCAGTGGTTACAAGAGGGTGTTGGCCCTGGCAAGCATGACATGTCATTCTTTAATGATTAAAGAGCCAGCAGAAGCCCAGACACCATCTTCATTCAGATGGCTCCTAACCTTCTGTTGATACACAAGGAACCTGTTCTCTAGCAGCAGTGAGGATGTTTCTGTGGGTCTGGCTCTCTTAGATAACAAAATCAGAGCAATGTAGTAATAAAAGCCTTTTTTGTTACCTTTTGCCTAGTCTTACAATATCTAACACCTGTATTACTCTCACTCTGAACTACAGTGGTTTGTTCAGCATTTGCACCATGGTATCTTTGACTACAAGTCCTATGACATGCTACAAAATAAATCGCATGTGGTTTGGGGCTTTTTCTGTTTCTACTGAACTATTCCATCTCCAGTTCTTCTCTTTACCCAAAAAAGTCAAATTTTATTCCTAATTATACCAGTACAATACCACTTAAGACCTTGGTGGTAAAAGATAATAAAGCATGGCTACATGCCCTCTACCTTGAACACGCTTTCTTACTGAGACTCTTTTTGCTTCCCCAACACTTTTGGTGACCATGACTTACTGCTTTTCCTACTTCTGAAAGTGCAGACTACCAACTGCAACAGAGACTTTCAAAACCCTATTTCAACAGTTACCCAATGCATAGCAAAATACTCACTCATCTGAACAAGCTGGATCCGTATCACACGCTGGCACATTGCTGTGAAATCTGTTCTGTTGCCCTACATTCTCCAATCTGGCAATTGCTTCATTTCTGTTAGGAACAAATAAAAAATGAGGAAAGAGTTTGACACGGAGACTTGCCAGATCAAAGGTAATAGGTATAAACCCCAGCAAGTTTCCCTCCTTGTATAAAATCTCCAGGTGTTTCTTTTGTTGTTTCATGGAAGGATCCCCTTAATTCAGCCCAGTGCCTGCTAGCATCCTCTCCCCCAGGGTGATTCTCCACTCCTTTAGTAAATTACCATCCATAAGAACTGAACTGTGGCTGTCAGAACAAACCCTGGGTTATGGGGGGCTTCCTGACTGTGCTGAAGTGGGAGTCCCAGGGGTACTTTGTCTGTCTCAGGCTGCTTCCAGGGCAGTGGCCATCACAACTGGGGCACACACACACCATGGACAGCAAGGCCAGGGCCTCCTTCCTTCACCCACATTCAACTGTGGTGATGAGAGAGAGCTCTGTTTCCAACACCCATGAAGATTATGGACATTTCTCTTCTTTGTGCCAACAAGGGGAACCATGACTGCTCCCTCCAGGCTTTAATAGAGCCATGTATATTGTAGAGCAAGAATACCACAGGAGGACAGAACAACCAGAGAGATGAGCCCCTTTTTACTTCATTTCTCTTTTGAAACTTTCTACAAGAAAGACACCACCCAGGTTTTTTTTCTTCAATTACAAATAAACTGCATGACACCTTTAATCCAGAAAACCAATTATAGATACACTTATATTTAATCATGTCTGTAGCACCAGTGATTTCAAATGGGAGCAACACATAGGATTAACCTGAACTTTAAAAAAATCCTTGTTGGAGCCAAGATTTTATTGCTAAATATCTATATATACACACACACTTGGTTTAAGGCTAGTATTAAAGTAATTGTTGTTCTTTCCATGTTTCTCATATATATTAAAATTGGGGAGTATTTAAATCAAATTGTTCTGTACATGGCTTAAATATCCCATACATTTTTCTATCTTGAACATGTTTTCAAATGAATCGTAAGGCAAACACCCTGTAAAGCTACTCAGAAATTATTATAAACAACTTAAGTTACGCCAAAAGAGAATTAAATGTAACAGTTCTGCACACTCAGGTTGTGATGACCTTACTATGTGTGCATAAATGGTTACAATAAAAATCTTTGATATACACTTTCCATGGCTGATTTTTATACAGTTACCAGCTATGTACACCTGCTCCCTAAAGTAACAAAAAAAAAAAAAAAAAAAACAAAAAAAAAACCACAAAACCAAAAACAAACAAACAAAAAACCTCAATAACATTCAATTTCTCAGTAATTTAAGAGAAATGGAGACTCCCTGAAAGTATCTGAGAAAATTTGGATTATGATATTTCAAAAACATAAGAAAACCCCAACTTTATTGGATAGTTTTCCGTGCTATTCCCTTGCTTTCCCTTCCTAATTAATCTTCTTTACCACCTTTTCAAACAAAAAAGAATTTCACTGCAATGAAATGATACCAGAAATGTACTGTTCAAACACAGCATTCTCTTGACTGCTGCTCTCATTCAGACACACATGAGCTTCAGTACAAACTGGAAGCAGGGCCAAAACATGGGAAACTGAAGTCTATTCATGCTCTTCTAATAAATGATGTATATGCTCAAAACAAATGAGCTTTTATGAATGTTCAGATCTTTCTTCACATGTAGATGCAGCACAAAAAAAGCCAGTCACAGCAGAAGAAGTGCACAATTTTGTATTCACTCTTGTTCAGGCTTAGTCAAAAAGTCTTACTAACTGATTTAAACTTCTGTTACCTGAATGTACAGTTTGAAAACTAGAGTCATGTCCATTGCCTCTAAACTGGGATGCAAATAAAGCATTACCTAATACCAATAATAACATGGTGCTATATTTTTGTACAAAGTATTTTTCTCAACGCAAGTTTCCCATCATACATCTATTTTACAGTGCAGCCAATCCCTTTAAAGATTATATTCATTAAAAATCACCCTCAGAATTTTCCGTAGAAAACACATCAGGCACTAGGTGGTCATAAAGATCTAGTGCAGATCTTTCACTTAATGAAAGAGGGTAGGATCTTTTCCATATGTTTTAAAGTTTACGGTAAAAAATACAAGTAATAGCAGGGTATTTTTTTCTTCACAGACAACCTGGCAATGGTGGAATGTCAAGAAGAAGAAAGCCCTGGAATTAGGGAGTATTGCACAGCATATGTGGGAAGACAGCTCATCTAAAACCCCCTAGAACAAGAGCAATTCCACCAGATGGGAAGAACACAAAAGAAGCCAGTGGAAATCTGGAAATCAGATTTTAAAAATCAGAAGAAAATTTTAAAATCTCAGAAAAGAAGACACCAAAGTAACCAGAGAAAAAGACAAAACAAACCAACCAGTCCTGAGTGCTGAGGGAGATTAGAGGTTTTGCCACAGATCTGTTGTCTGGTTGGTGACCCAGTGGCACTGGTGGGGGGAAGATGTAGATTTTTTCCTCCCCCTTTGCAGAGCTACAGTAGGTCAAAGTCAGGTTGAGGAAATGAAACCAGTAGTGTCCCAAGTATTAAGAGAAGTGACTGTTAGGTACCACACTTGATTTTCATTGAGCAGCTTTTTAGTAGTGCAGATTTCAGTAGCAGTAATGAGCTAATTTTTTTTTTTCTTTTAGTTTTAATTGTATCAAAAATCACAGCTGATTCAAGTAAAATGACATACAAACCTTTATTTTCCCTTTGGCTCATGACTACTAGAATGCATAAAGCTCGTAAACTGTTTTCTTTCCTCAGCACTTTCTGATTACAAATTAATAGAAGAATTTGAAAGACGGTAATTATGTAACTGTTCTTGTCCTTTTGTATCATCCTGAAACAGGAAGAACACATTCCCTTCCAAAATCATGCTCTGAGAAAACTCCTAGCTTGCAGAAACAACATATATGCATGTTCGTAATAATGGCAAAGCACTTTAAGCATTCAGACAATCATTCACTTAATTATCATAGAATAGCCTGGGTTGGATGGGACCTTAAAGATCACCTAGTTTTAAGTGTTTTTAAGAGCTGCCAGCTCTGGTCAGCTTCTTTGTCCCTAAGGACAGTTTTCCATGGAATCTCATTCACCAGCTCCTAAACAACTGGAAGTTTGTTCTTTCAAAGTTTGGGGTCCTGACTTAGCTCCTTGCCAGGCTCACAATCCTCACAAACTCCACCAGGGAGTGGCCACTGCAGTCCAGGCTGGCACCAGTCTTAGCCCCTCTCATGAGCTCATCTGCATTGGTAAGCACCAGCTCCCATAATCCTTCTCTGTAATGCCTGGACCAGGAAAATGTCTCTATACACTACAGGAGTCTCCTAGATTGCTTGTATTTTAAAATATAATTTCTTAACTATTTACCACTGCCTATAAAGAAATATATTTAATAAAATATCATGGTTTAAGAGGCTGGAATATCAATAATTCCATTTCATAAGTCATCCTTAGGCTGTAATAACCTCACACAATGATTTATAGATGACCTGTTTAACCTCATGTATGTAACACAAAACCTGCTGAAGTCAAGAAGCACATTCCTCAGGGATCCCACTGGGACATGACTGGTTCTTGGTTTGTACACTGACAGTCTGACAGCACCACATCAAGTCATGCATGCAGCCTCACTGCAGAGGTTACAGGCCACAAGGTGCACCCCTCCCCTCAGCCAAACCACTTTATCATAACTGATATCCTCTAAGCTCAGGAAAGCAGATGGGATCATTTTAATTAGGCCAATTTGATAACAGCAATTAAAGATAATATGCCCACAGTGTTACTCCAAGTCTGTTTCCAACCTCAAAAGTGAAGCATTACTCAGCAGAAGAATAGTTACTGCGAACTGCTGTGTTTGTGGATTTGCCCTAATATAGCTAAACTGAAGTGGGAATGTTTTTACCACCAGGTAGCCTGATAAGCTGGCTGTTCACTATCACCCAGTCTGGCTACAGACAGTGCCACTGCAAAAACAGCCATGGCATTTCTAACTTAAAACATTTTACTTTGCCTTTATCATCAAGTGTTGTGAAGGAAAAAACTATGCATGAAATGTTATTCCAGACTGAACACTGTACTCTAGTGCTGGCCTGAAATTAGTCTACAGGCTCTATTCCACACATAGCCTCTTCAGAAGTTAAGTGAATCTTAAAACAAGTGGAAAAAAATGTATGAAATTGTTAGTGAGGACTCGTTCCACTATCTCCCAAGGTTAGAACTACTAGAACAACTGCCATCCACACCATTATTCACAGCTTCATGGTCATATTGGTTCCTGTTGCCTGATGCTCAGGCTTGGTACACCCACTGTGAAAATGGCCAGACACATGACAGTGAACAATCAGGCTTATGATGTAATCACAGGATGAAACTTGTCAAATAGGATTTCTAATTTGGGGTAGAGGGGGGCGAAAGGAAAGGAGAAAGAAGGTAAAAAAATAAAAATCACAAATTTGTGAGATGCTTGTTTGAATACTTTGCCTTTCTGCTCAGAATTAACGCTAAAGTGTAGAACACCATGCAGCAGAAAGCTTGCATACAGGAAAGATTATCACTACTTAAAATGTTTCAAGATGTACAAACAGGATCAGAGCAGAAAGGGATGACTCCTCATTTAATTTTCCTGTTTATTTCCTCGGAGCAATTAGAGCAGATTTTAATCATTTTCCATATTGGCTGTTGATATCTTTGACACTGCAATAAGCAAGATGGCATTTTGGCATGTTTGCAAAAGTAGAAGAACTGGCACAGGCACTCCAGCAACCAGTGGTGATGTCTTCTTTTGCACTTACTTATATTAGATTTTATATTCATGCATTCTCTTTTAAGAGCACTAAGCAAGTGAAACCCCACTTTGATTGCAGTTACTACAAGACAGCTTTTTTAGATTTTGTTTGGTGACTCTGAACAGGTTTCACCAGCACAAGTGCTGCACCCACAAAAAACTCCATTATAGCTAAATAATGGCCCTACATGTTTTTCCAACATGTTTTCCTATAGGCTGATCTAATTTTGAGGTATTTTCTCTGTCATACAAGAAACAAATGAATTGGGATCTGGAACATAGTTCTTTTTTTTTTCTTCTTAGCTCTAATCATTTGAAGTTTTAAAGCTTATTAATTTCAGGTGTTTGTTATTAAATATTCAGGAAGAATTTAAAAAAATTTCTATTGGCAGTGTAAAAAATAGTTAAAATTACATGAAGTGTCTAATGTAACTTATTTCCAAAGTATGCATAAAAAAATAATTCAGGAAAATATGCAACTATTAATTGTTGAAAACTAAGCATATAGTCTTTCTTAATAGAGAACATTTTCCAAGTGTACCTGTATATTAATTTGGTATTATTATTACTATTTCTGCTGCAGAGGATCTGGGAATTTCAGTCCTTAGCCTGCTAAAGCAAGGATTTCTCAGCTTTCCTCCTCCCTTCCGTTCTGCCGAGTACTGCCCACAGTAGGCTCCTAGTTTTGTAGCTAGGTATGCACCACTTATGAGTGGTATGCATGACAATTTGGGAATCCCATCCCAGAGAGTGTATGGGGAATACTCACCCACAATTTCTTCAAATGTTGATCTCCACAACCCCTTCATTTACTCATTACTAATTAATATAGCTACATGTGAGTAAAACTGTAAAGTACTCTTGCCTCATAATCATGATGTTTGTTTCACTGCACACCTGAAGTGCTAGAAGCACACACAGACACACAGCAGTGGAAAAATCTCCGTGGAGATCAATTCACACTCCACTCGAAACACAAAGAAATAACAGTCTGGCCGGAATATTATTTGAAATCTTACAATGTCATGTTTAGACTTCGTCTAATTATTCTTTAGGGGAAGAAGGGCAGATTTAGACATTTCTCCGAACCATATACATGTTTTTTATATACATGTACATATATATATACACACATACTTACAATAACAATATATCCACAATGGCCAGCAATAACTATTTGCTGCCGAAACGTGGCGATTGGCAGCCGCTGGCGCCGCGGGCCAGCCGATGACACAGTGCCCGTGCCGAGGGAGGCAGAGCCTCCGCAGCCTCCCCTCAGCAACGCGGCCGCGCCCTCGGACCCGCACTCGGAAGCCAACCCATCCAGTTCTGTTTGAGTCATTAATCACGCAGTTACTGCTTCCCCCCGTGACTAATGCTTCCCTCCAGCAGCCCACTGTGATCCTGCAAGCTCCCCAAAACAGCCCAGGTACCTGTGAGCAACACAGGAGATGGTCTCTAGAGCAAATCGCTACTCTTGCTGCTATTACAGTGATTACGTGACCAGGCCCTGAACCATTTGAAGGCTTTGTCATTTTTTTACCCGAGTATTCTCAAAGTTATATATAGACCCGATTTAAATTTGGAGGGACAAATGCACTGGGCGGGGATGCTCAGCCCGCCTCCTCGGCAGCGCTCCGTGCTCCAGTCACCGCGACCCCGGCCCGCCGGGCTCGCCTGAATCCAGGCGGCTCCTCAGCCCCCCTTACAGACGAGACACGCGGGGCTGATCCCGACCTTCCCCGACGACACCGCAGCGGGCCCGTCCGGCACACAGTGGAGAGCGGCGACGCCGGGGCGGGTGGACCCGCGGCCGAGGGACACCGCCCTTTCCCAGCCTTTCCCAGCGCCGCCGGCGCCCCCTGACCGCGGGAAACACTCCCCCCTCCTCCTCCCGCTGCCGCCGGGCTAAGCCTGGGTTGGGCCGGGCCGGGCCTGTCCGCGCTCCCGAGGCCGCCCCCACCCGAGGCCGGACCCACCTCGAGCGACCCCGCCTGACGCGGCGCCCGCAGCCCCCGTGGGGAGGGGGCGGCCCGGGCCCGCCCCGGCGCTGCCCCTCGGGCTCCCGCCCCGCCCGGGCGGGGAGGCGCTGGCGGCACATGCGCAGCCGCCTTCGCCCATCCAGTGCGGCAGCCGCGGGTGGAGAACCGCAGCGGCATCGCCGAGCGGCGCGGGCAGCGGGGCGCCGGCCGGGGGGCGCCGGGCAGCGTTGGGGAGCCGGCTCTGCTCCCGGCCCGCAGAGGCCGCCGCTGGGGCGGTGCGGGGCCGTGCGGCGTTTTGGGGCCGGACCCCGGCGTTTTGACATCCCGGCGCTGGGAAGGGCCGCGTCCCGGCCTGCGGCGGCTGCGGGGGCCCTGCCGGCGGCTCCCGCCCCGGGCCGGAGGACTGGCGGCCGCCTGGGGCGCACGGCCCTGGCCGCAGGGTCTCCCCAGGGAACGCGGGGCCGGGGCCGCCGGGGGCATTTTTTCAGAGGCGGAGGGACGGCGGCGTGAGTGAATTGAGACAAAGAGCGAGGAGGAGGAGGAGGAGGAAGAAGAGGACGCTCGGACTCGGCTACATTCCTGTGCAGAGAAAGGCGGGAGGCGGTGTTAGCCCTTTACGGACAGCTGGGTCCGGCGCTGCTCTCAGCTGCTGTCGGCGTATTTACAGCCGGCTCTCCCGCCCGTGGGAGGAGGACGGAGAAACAACCATGTAAGTTCCCAATTGCCGGGGGTCCAGTGAGAAGATGGGGGATGCCGCAGACGCCAAGGAGATGAGGAAGACTTTCATTGTTCCTGCCATCAAACCCTTTGACCATTATGATTTCTCCCGAGCGAAAATCGCCTGTAATCTGGCCTGGCTGGTGGCCAAAGCCTTTGGGACAGGTAGGTGGCGTCTCCTTCTTCCCTTTCTTTGATGCTGGTTCCTGCTTGGTTGCTTCGCTACTGAGGACGTGCGAGCCATTCCCTGAGGAGCTGAGAAGGGGGGGAGATGTGTGGGAAATGCTTTTGGTCTGTTCCCTTATCCTTAAGATCTCTGACCTCTTGTGAGGTTTTTTGTTTTTCTTTTGTTTTTTCTTAATTACACTTAGTCTTTTTGGAGTAGTCCCACTGTTTCCATCAACAAGTAAATTTTGTGTATTGGCGCTCATATTATTTTGTTTGAGTGAATCGATCTCTGTAAATGATATTTTATTTTTTTACTCTGGTCACACTTCTACAATGCGAAAAAAATCCCAGCAATCCACGTTTGTATGTCATCTTGAAATTTTCCCTGGTATTGCTTAGGAGCAGAATTGGGGGCTAGCAGTGGAAATGGGTGCGTGCTCTTAGCTCTGACATGTGTGACAGTAGCCTGTAGCCATTTGAGTGGTTTAGCATTAAGAAGGGTTTCGGCGAAAAGAGCATTTAGTGCCAGGTCTCGGCCTGCACAATACAGAAGGCTCTCCTCGTCTGTAAGTGTAAAGGGAATCGATTTGTAGTGCCTCCAAAATGCATCAGTGCTCTGTCGTTGAAAACCTTGGACCTTGAGGAATACCAGACCTATTATTCTGTGCCTGAAATATTATTGGGCCTTGAGGAATACCAGGCTTGCAGAGGTCTTCTGAGGGAAGCATTTTAAAAATTTACCAAGCTGGGGGATTTTTGTTTGGTTTTTGTTTGTTTGTTTTGGATTTTTTTTTTTTTTAGTTTTTTATTTAATTGACTTTTTAGCTTTTTTGGAGGAGGTGGGGTTGTTTGTTTGTTTTGGATTTTTTTTTTCTTTAGTTTTTTATTTAATTGACTTTTTAGCTTTTTTGGAGGAGGTGTGGTTGTTTGTTTGTTGTTTGTGGTTTTTGGCTTTAGTATAGCTGTAGTATTGTAATAATTTAATTTTCTGTTGATTAAAAATAAGGGGTTTTTTGAAAGGTGAGGTAGATATCAACCATCATTACTTTTGCCCCTGTTTTTTGTAAAATAACAGGAAAAGGTTCCTCCTTATGGAGTGTTGCACCTTTTACATTTAGGGCCAGGGTGCTGTTATGTATTTAGCCAGGGTTCACTTGTATTTAGCATGTGTTTATGGGACATGCTTCTGCGAACTTATAGTATTTGATGCAGTGCTTCCAAAAAGGCACTTTTAAAGTGCTTGAATCTGGTGAAATTTTAGTGAGTGCATCACTTCAAAAAGAAAGAATAGATCAAAATTCTGTTTCCATATAAAGATTTGTCGATAAACTCTACTTACTTTTCTTTGTGAAATCTGGAAAAGTAATATTTTGATATATGGCTTTATTAGCTATGCAGGTATGAGAGGTAAAATAGTAGAGAAAATTCTTGGAAGTACCTAATTGAACATCTTCAGAGATCATTATATTTTTAGGTACCTTGTTTCTATAGGGTCTACTCATAGGATTCTGAGTGTACAATGCTTGTGCAATTATATAACCCAGCCTTCTAACCTGAAAACTTTTTTCTACTGGAGTTTGACAGATTCTCAACCTATGGTTGAAATATCTTGGTTTATACTGGTTGAGTTTCTATTGGATGTGTAAAGCCACTTGCAGGGAACTTTTCTGGTACTTTTTATAGCAAGTGTGATCCAAAACAAATTCATTTTCTCTTTCCTTTCATGACTGGGGTTGTTCTGAGATGCTTAAATGAAACATGATTAGAGGGAATAATTGCTCCATCTGCTCTCTAGTCACTGCAGTAATGTGACAGTAGGAAGAGAGGTAAGCACACACGTTTGTGGTGTTTCTGGTCCCAGTTCTTCCACTAGGTTAATGGAACTAGAAACGTCAAAGAAAAGTTTGGCTGAAGTAGGGAAGGACAGTATACAGGACTTGCATGTCTGCAGTACAAATGCTTCCTTTATGCTTGGAGTGAAACAGAAGAACTGACCTTCACCTTTTCCAAGAAGGAAGGAAGTTTGGGTTTGTTAAATTATTTTAGTTCTTGGGAATAAATCACAGCCTCAGTTGTGTCTTCTAACTATTGCTATATACATTTGTACAGGGGAAATACAAGGGATGATTAGTGTGTTTATGGGTGCCACATTTTATTTCTATTTTTATGCTCGAACTATTGAAGTTCCCTAAGCCTGCTTGGGAAGGTGAAGGGTTTTTCCCTACCGTCTATGAAACAAAGTAATGCAGGTCACTTTCATAAAGGAAAAGCATAGATTGTAACAATCATGTATCCATTAAAGAAATCAAAATATTTATGTATCAAAAGAATACATCTTTCAGTGGATGGCTTTCACAGTCTTGAAACCATATTTGAATACAATCAGAGCTGTGGATACACCTTGACTACATGTTGTGGATTTGCTCTTGCAAAAAGACTTGGAAATAGGTACTGTTCATTAACATTAGTAATGACTTCTGGTGTTTCATTGATACCTGGGTCCAAAAACTGAGAGACAAATTTTCTATTGCTATTGTCCTTGGTAAAATTGCAAGTGTAGAGTTTGACCCACAACACAGGCAGGTCAAAAGAAGTTGTCCTATTAGTGAGGTGTCATAGGAGAGCAAGAATGTATTTACAGTCATGTTGAAGGCATCTTATATGAGGAATTGTTTAAGGAATACTAACTGAAGAAGGAATTCCTATTTAAGTGTTGAGGGTGTGTAGGATTTTGTGCCTTGGTGTTTTGCTGCAAGACAATATATAGGTGTTAGGACATGTCAGATTAAATGTTTTGTAATAAGCAAATTGTTTAAGTGACACAACTTGCAATAACTGAAAGGGGGAAAATTAACAAATGTGAAATATAAAAGGGAGAATGTTTGACCTTAGAAATTAAATCTGCAAATACTTAATTTCAGCCTTGTCTCCCAATGCTGACAGTTAACCATTTCAGTATAGAAAAATTTCTTCCCAAAGAACTGGATGAACTGTATGGAAACTATAACCTTCAACTTAAAAAGTATGATGGGACATACTTCATAGAAATAAGTTGAAAAATATTGTGACAGTCTGTGCTTTTTTTTTTTTTTTTTTTTTGCTTTTTTTTTTCTTTTTTCCTAAAGCAACAGAAGTGGGTTTCATTATTTTGGAATGTAAAGGTTTTGCCTTCTCAGTCTGCTATAGTAATAGAAAATGTGCCTGAAAAATTTGTTATCCATCCATGCTGGACAGGCTCATCTAAATATACATCATTCCTGACAGATGTTTGTTTAGCCTGTTTTTGAAAATCTCTAATTATAGACTTTCAACAGTATGTTTTCTAGTCAGTTTGGAGCTTATTTATTTTTAGATGTTTGAACAGAATCTTGATGTCTTTTGCTATGTTGGTAAGCCATTACTTACCCTCTTCCTGCTGCTTTTGAGAATGGTGGGCACCTTATGTTTTTAGAACACCTTTCATATAATAAAAGCAATGTCTGTTATGTTGTTTAGACAAAACAGACTTTTTTTTCTTTTTTACAGGTCAAACTTTTTGCTCTCTGTGTATATTAGGGGTTGAGGTTGGTTTTTTTTTTAGGTTGGTTGGTTTTTCATAGAATTTTTTCCTGTGGTTGATTTACATGAGCTCTGTACTTAAATCTAGATGTATTGGTCCAGCTAAACCATTACCAATACAAGGTAAATTTGAAAAAGTATTTCATATTTCCAACCTATAATACTCTGATTTGTTCACTAAAATATGATGTTTGCCATTTCTGCATCAGCCTAGAATTGTTGACTCATGCAGTCTGTGATTCACTGTAGCTCTCTATCTTTCTCTGCAGAGCTGCTGCCTACTCAGTTGTTCCCATCTTATAATTGTACTGTTGTAGGTTCCTGCTTTGCAGCTATTCTTACATAACTGCATCCTATTTTCAAACCACTCCTTCCACTTATCAAAATCATCTTGAATTATAATTTTGTCCTCCAAAGTGCTTTCAGTCCTTTTG